AGACACGAAGTTTAGGACCTAATAGATATCTTTTTTTTTTTTTTAAGTAGTAATATCCGAGTTTCATACAATCATTGTAATGAGCCTTTCTGTTACACTCGCTGTTAGGTTTATACAACCTACCGTATTTTTTTTTAGTTTAATGATATAACATCTTGCATCAAGTATGAGGTGGTCTGGTTTTTAAAAATCGATCTAGCTTCGTTATGTGAAATAATCTCGTTAAATATATACGTAGACTAAAGTCAAATTGCTGTCCAGCCATCTTCAGCAAGACGATAAAAATTTGATTTTTATTAGTGTTTATTACACTTCAACCATATGGCTAGTTTGGGTGAAAGAGATCTTCGTTGAGTGGTGATTTGTGAGAAGAAAATAAAGTTACGAAATGTCTCTTTAATCTATGACAGGAATTATTAACCTATTGACTGCTGATTCGCCATATAGGGTACAGTCCGCCTCCGGCATTTGAATGCGAGTATGCTGTATACAGCTCGTAAAAATCCAGCAGCCGCAGTCAAAGGGTTTATTTGGTAAGGTTAAAAAAATGAATTGCATGTCGTGATTTGTAGAATGAAGTTAAAAGAAATGTACACTTCTGTGAGGCGAGGCAGGGGTGGGGGAACTAACCTACAGTCTAGTTTTCTGTTGTATTAAATGTAGCATATCTTAATTTTAACTACTTTATGATACCGCATCCATTTGTTTGTTCTTATTGGCATAAATCTTAAAAATGCGTTTTACGATGTCCCACTTTTTCAACAAACACACACACACACACACACACACACACACACACACACACACACACACACACACACACACACACACACACACTTTGTAGTTAGTGTTTTTTAATATCTGCACCATTGAAAGAATAAGTAGTCAACTTGGAACACAATACTTTGTATTCTGCTGCTTTTGTTCATTGACTAAACCAAGGATAATCCAGCTGGAATTAAAATTTATAACCTGTGTATTTTCAGCGGTACGTGCGAAATATTAAAATATACTTTTACAAATCTAATTTGTAAAGTATAAGTTACCTACCTGTTGTTTTTCTTTGCTTTTCTTCAAGCCGTGAACATGTACATCGCAAAATTATATGTTTGGTTTCAAGGGTCGCCCGTTAGCAATTTGCTAAATTCAATCGTAAATGGTATCTCAAATTAGGGAAGATGGGGTGTTTGTATTATTAAATATCCCAGTTTCATTAGCAGTTTCATATTTAATAGAAATCTCCATCTTCGAAGCTATCCACAGAAAAAAAACTAACAAATGTAGTTTTTTGTTTTTTTTATGCATAGTTTTTGTAGTTTGTCTCTGCTAATTTCGAGGACTGGATTATCCAAATGTCTTTGGTTTGTGTGTTGCATAAAGTTTATATTCATGTTGAATGCTTGTTTTAAGCAGAAGCTATACCATGGGTTATTTATGCTGTGCCAATCGAGTAATTCGAATCCTAAATTTTAGCGGAGGGTTACATATAGATGTTTGTGAGGAATTGTTCATTTGTTGGGATTGCCTCTGCTAGGAAGTAAGTCGCTCATTCAGGTGTGTGTAATTTTTTTTAATGGTAATTTTCATATTTTAAAATGTAAAATTTCTTTCGAAATATTGTTGCTAAATAAGTAATGATTTTAATAATCATAATACAAAAAAGAAAATGAAAAAAAGGGCCTCGAATTTTTAAAAGTAACTACCACTAGAATCTGAAATACTGTTGTATTTTAATATAGATATTTGCCAAAGGGTGCTGCTAATCATGATGATCTGTGAAGTTAATTTAAGTCCGTTATAATCGAGAAGGTTCGTGAAGTATGTTGAAATAAGGGATTGGTTGATTGAATTATTGGGGTTGGGGGGTGGGTGAGTGATTCGTATTAGTAGTGAGTTATCACGTTTGGGCAGTTACTCGATCGATTAGCCGAGAGATTCTACAAGTAAGTTTATGAGAAAGTTAAGTGTATGTACATTAGTCTGAGAATTTCTGTTGAAATGTTGTTTGTGAACTTAGGTCTACAACTTGGGTTAAAGTGAACGTTGTCTGTAGCAAAATTTATTGAACAAATAAATTAATTCGTTATCGTTACTTGGACTAGACTTGGCATAATTTTACCAAATGATACAGCAAAACCAGCCCAACGATTGAATACGTTACAAAACAGGTATTAGAAGCGAGATTATTTTTTGTACAAATAAAATAGAACTTTTAACTAAATTTCAAGATGGCTACCCGATCACGAAGCGAATTTGAAACGTTACGAAAGATGATGAAACAAAGTCAAGATGAAAAAGACGAAAAAAAAATGCCATTGCACAGAAACTGTAACTATAGTTGACAATGTCATAGCTTCTACATTCCAAAGTACTTTGTCATCTCTACAACCTTCCAACGGCTGTGCACTTGCGTGTTAAAAAGACACTGGAGAGAGTAAAAGAACACATCTGTTTGGTTGGGTGGCGGGGATCTGTACAAAATCGGAGCAACTTGTCTGCACTATGTTATGAGGGAAAATATTCACAAATGAGCATGGGCAGTTACAGCAGTACTGTGTTTGAGCACTACTTGAGAGAGTTGATATTGGTATGCTTGGTCTTGTGCCAAAGGATATCGGTGGGAATAAATACATTATTGTTGTGATGGACTAATTCACAAAATAGCCAGAAGCATATGCCGTTTCTAACGAGGAACTCTAGCGAGTAAACTTGTCGATGAATTCGTTTCAAGATTTGAGTTGTCTATATAACTTCACTAAGATCGGGGACGTAAATTTGAATCAGCCTTGTTTGCAGAAGTGTGTCGAATTCTTGGCATCAAAAAGACTAGGACAGTAACCCTCCGTCCATTTTCCGGTAGGTGGTGGAGAGATACAATTATGCCAACTAGCCATTTATGTAAAAGAACGTTAGAAAACGTGGGATCAAGATCTTGCACTGCCACTTAAAAGTTATCGAATAACATAAACGAAGCTACATGCAACACGCATTTGTCAGTGATGTTTGGGAGAAAACGTAAAGTGGCATTGAACATTCTGTTCTTGCATCCAGAGAATAGTCACTCGGCAGAGTATTGCATAGAATGTGTAGAGAAACTAAAACGTCTTTGAAGTCGTGTATAACTTTATCAGGGAAGAACTTCAATCATCTAGTGATTAAAATAAAGTTGCTACGACATTAATACAGATAAGACTGGATTCCATCGCCGCAAGAAAGGATGAACTCGAAAGTTAAGTTATTGGGAAAGACTTGTGTTGTACTGAAAATAATAAATTGTGGTTTACAGAATCCAAAAGGACAGTTTGTCCAAGCCAAAGGTCATCCACCATGATTGTCTTGGGAAGTACGCTGGTAAGAGAAGGGCCGAGCAATTAATTCAGAAGAATTTGTCAGTGGGAAAGTCAACCTACTGAAGAGCCCAGGGTTTCTGTTAAGACCACTTCCAGAGGATCACCCAGTGACAGGACAGCAAATGACAAGGGAAAATATGCTATTCCGTCTGTATACTATAACCCTCGGAAAAGAAAGAATCACCAAAATTGTTTATATAGTTTTAATTGTGTATAAGGATGTTAAAGGGACTTCACAATCCAAGAAAAGGGCTAGTGCTATGAACTATATTTTAAATAGTTTAGTTGATATTTTTGCTGGAGGTAGCTGCTAATCATCATCATCATGATGCAATGTTTAGAAAGTTCATTAATATATAATCGATACTTTGTGAAATATGTTGAAACAAGTGAACATATAAACATGACTTTATTGGATAATCAGTGAGTCATCTCGGTCAGTGTTATCGCGTCAATTCGGTTACTCGATTGGTTAGCCTAGAAACTCTAGAATTAAGTTTATAAATAATTCTGATAACATGTGTGAAAGTAATGGATAATGTTATGTCAGTCAAACTACATCTACCATATCCAGTAACGATTAAGTTAAGCATATGTACCACTTGTCTCAATTTCTGTGTAAACGTTGTTGTTTGTGAACTTAGTCCTATATCTTATATCAAAGTGAACGAAGCCTGTAACAAAAGTTATCGAAGACAACTTAATTGGTTATCTTTACGTGGACTGAACTTGGCATTATCTTTTTTACGAAATAATCCAAAATAACCTACACAATGATAGAACACACTGTGAACAAACTTATCTCAAAAAATATATTTTTTTAGTCATTAATACATTGCATGTATCAAACATGGCTTGGAAATAGTATGTAAATATACAATATGGTGTAAATGTTAGATTTTTATAAGGCCGGAATTCTTTACAATAGGTGTCTGATTTATTGGCGATAAATTTCAGTAATAAATGGACAGCAACACAGTCCACTTGTTTTAAAATAATATAAAAACAAGTGAAACGTATGTACCAAAAAAAAATATTTTTCGTCAAAGACCACACAGGCGAGTTCAATTACTTTAGAACACTCTTTGTTGTTACAAACTGTGAAACTCGCTTTAGAAATCTCTCGTTACAGCTAAACTGACAATCACGCAGTCTAACTTCACTTTTCATAAACAGTACCCGACTGAGGCCTAGAACTTTTTACAAACTACGAGACGTTATGATGTAACAATATTCACTTAAAGCAATGAGAAATTCAGAAGGTTCTAGTAATATGACGTCAATTCACAACAATTGAACTACGCAATAAATGATTCGTAAACAATTACGTAAACAAACTTGCCATAAATTATCGCTTCCAAAAATACTAAATTTTATAATACTCGCGCTTTATAACTCTAAATCATAACTCTCGTGTTAAACTTTACTGTTAGATATACACGACTGTAAATCTAAAATAAACGTCGGACTGAAGAAGACACGTGGAAATGTCGAAACTTGGATCCTTATAATTTGTTTTTTGTTTCGTTTTTGTGAAAGTGAATTTTATTTTGAGCGTAAAATCTTTTAGTATATATGATTTTGAATGTTTTTAAATGTTAATATTTTTATATTGTGATAGTTTTCTTAACAGTCTTTCTTCTGCTTTAGATGTGCCATGTAAATGTTCCTTCTTCATTATCATCTGGTCCAAGTTCATTTATTCCATTGGATGAGGTTAGTTTCATTAAAAATACAGATTATTTTCTAATGAACAACAATTATTATGTGAAATGATTATTACTAATTGCACAACATCTTATTGTTATATTTCATAACTCGATACTATTTTAATAGTACTAATAAATTCGTTGTTGTATAAGTTACAATGGATGCACAAACTCTACCAAATGTGAATCATCCTGCAGACAAAATAATGGGAAAGTGTACTGACATTAAATAAAAGGGGTTGAAGGCTAAAAAAATGGCCTGCTAACACTAAACAATTTCCCCGTTATTTTTGTGCTAATAAACAACAAAACTATTTAGTCTGTGTTACTTGTTTTTGTTTACCAAATTCTATATATATTTATATATATATATATTTATATATATATATATAAAAAAAAAATTTAAGATTCATGATAAATATTCTAAAATGTTGTATTGTTGCGGTGACTTTCGTCGGCAGAGCGTATAGATTCTCTGGCATTGGAATACAAAAATCATCACTGTAAGTGGGTTACTTTATGCTAGCGCCCTCTGTTATTTAATAAAGAACTTTAGAAACATCGTTTTAAGCAAATGTAAGGAAATATTGGCAGTAAGTTATAACAAGCACAAGAGTTTTAAGTTACTTTTGCACACTTCTCAATCCGTGAAGGAAAGAAAAAAAAAAAGTAATAAACTTCAATATACTGTATGACCAAAACGTCATCTAACAAAAAATATCCAAACGGATAAACCGTTAGATTCTTTTCAGAACAATCTCAATCCATTGCCTCAAACGTTTATGTAATAAAACACCTTTATTTAATTTTTTTTTTTCATGTACCCAATAAGTATTAATAAAGTAATTTTGTTAAGGTATGAACAATAATGGCTAGCTTATTCAATGTGATATTTAACACACATTGGTTAACTTCTTTGTTGATTCTCTTCAGTTCATGACTGCTTAAACTTTTAGTTTATCTCCGTTTACCAGCAATATAATATTGAAAAAACAAAAAAACCACAACTACCAAATAAATGATTATATACCAACAGAAAAGTTGTTTAAATATGTAACATGTGTTTCTAGAACATTTGTTTTTGCTTTAATAATGAAAAAAAAAATAGTACTCAAAGCTGTAAGGGGGATAGGAATTCGAAGAAACGAACTTTTAAGTTTCAGGTTTAAAAAGTGCATACGAGAGAAGTGTACAAATGATATCCTAAAGTTATATATTTTCGGAACGTTGAAGTGTATTACCCTACTCTTAAAAACACCTACTTATTCGACGATGAACCAATTGTTTGCATCAACGTTTGGGATTAAGACGTATTTTTAAACTAAGATATATAATATAATCTTTATTATTATTATTGAAGCTCTCTGCATGAAAGTTAATTGTATTTATTTACTTCGTCGCATGGAATTCTATGGATTCCACCGTTAAATGCGTCTCTCCACACATTAATAGATATAATAAATATATGTTTAATCCAGAGAATACGCATTCAGAATACGTAATCGTGATGTATCGTGTACAAACCCAACCATTTTAAAATGGTACGCGAAGCGGAAATTGAATGACTACTAAGGATAATTGAGAGCTAATCAAAGTCTTGGTCTGGATCAAAAGGACTTGCCTGCTCCATTTTAATCACAGTTTTAATTATTTGTCCCCAATTTCTCCTATATGTACACTTTCATGAGTCGTGTCTCAATTCCAGTATTTAATGTAGTTTTTTTAAAACTTAAATATATAAAAAAAAAGTAAAACACTGCTTTCATCCATTGTTTTCAAGTTTATCGAGTAATTTTCTATATTTATTACACTGATGGTAATTGACAAAGTAAAAATGATTACCCCTGTGTGTCAGATAAAAATAATAATAATAATAATAACAAAAATAAACTTGCAAAACTAAGTAACAATTAAATTAGTTAAGTACTTTTAAATTTCATGTCTAGGAACACCTGAAGTATGATTTGGGTAACATTCATGTTGAAATGAGTTGTGGTTTTGACAGCGATTACTATGCTCTTATATAACATGAGCATGTATGGAATTGTATAAATATATATAACACTTTGCAGAAGGACTTCGAATTTTAACTTTCTGTTTTTGTTTTTCCAGGCAATCCTGCCATCAACTGACAACAAAAAGGCGAGTATTAATTTCTTAGTTCTAGAAATTCTCAGCGTTTCTTCACTTTCCTTGAAAATGAATTCTCTTAGAAGTTAAGATGGTACGAATTGGTTGCCACCAGAAAAATAAGTTCAAAAGCCAACTTAATTTCGAGGACGAATCCACTTGCGTTCAAACATTGGTGCTTGAAATGTTTATATTTGTTAGTAAAATATAAATAGGGGCAACATTGTGCAATAAACTTTATTTTCAAATATAGGCAAAATAACGTTTACATTACACTAACATTAAAAAAAAATTAAAATGACTACATGTTTTGATAGCTTCCCCTACCATCATCAGGATTAAAAGATCTATGCTAACAGCAGGTTTTTATGCTGTAAGATAGCTAATAGAAATACGTACGTGTATCAAATATGTAACTTTGGATGCATCCACATTTTAGCAGTAACATTTGGATGGTTAAATGTTACTTATTTCCGTAAATGTTATTAATTTGAACCATAACCTAGTCTACCTTAATGTATATTCTGTGTAGCATAGAATGTTGTATCGTGAGTTAAAGCTTATGTTGATAACAATTACTTTGCAACGTAGCATGAATATGTATGAAAATGGACATGTGACTGTGGACGTTAGTTTCTGGGTCATTTGTGTACAGTTTTCACAGCTTATATTTTTAAATATTTCACGAGACATTTGTTGATCAATATTTAAAAAAAAATACTTGGAGAAAAGAAAATCCCACAGAAAAATTAAATAGGATTTTCGAAATTTGATGACCATCCTCTATAACGGAGCGTGAATGATATTTTGATACTTTTATCACGTGATGTGTTTGTTTCCAAGCATGATTAACCTACATTTTATGCCAGTCCGATATAAATAGGTGCACGTGGTTGAAAGCTTGAACTTATCGTGTATTTAGATAGAAAAAAAATCTTATTTTCTTCATTATCTTTTCCTAAAAGGACTTGCGCTAATCTTCAGCTGATAGGAAAACGGGACCAAGTTTCCTTGCACCGAGAATGTTTTTTTTTGTATCTGCTGTCGCAGTAAGTGCATGCATGTAAATACAGTATCTTCAGACTGTGGTACACCTGAATTTTTTGTTTTAAACTCAGTTTTTTTTTATTGTTTTTATTGAATTAATATATTACTGGAGTTAATAATGAATTAATACATAAAGATCTGACAATATTTTAAACATGTATGTAGAAGAAACGTTGGTAGGAGGCAAATTAAAAGTGGGGGAGGATCAAGGTTTACTTTAAAATTATTATCCAGTTTCTGACCGTTTCACTAATAACTGTCATTTGATATATAAGAATAGGGAATAACGTTTCTTTTTTTTTTTTATATGGAACACCGATATTGCTCTCTCAAGGCCTGTAGTGTGTTTGATTGGTGTTACATTGGGCCTGTTACATGTATTATGTATGTTCAAAGATGACTGCTATAGGACATGTTTGAAGATCCAATAGAGAAACGTGATGGAGGGGGGGGGGAACAACTCGCACTGAATTTGTTATGAATTCCTCGTATACCGTCCCTTGTTGCATAAACTGAATGTGGGAAGTGTAGCCTTGAATCTAAGACCTTAAGTGTAAGAGGATAAAAAAGATAATGAGCGTGTATGATGCTGCGATGTTGTTGATTTTGAGTTTATATCCTGCTGCACTGTAAAACAGGGTGGGGAACACTTATGACTGTTAATGATTTGTTACAAGGTGGAATGTGATCGATTGTGATGCTCTCAAAGAAAGGCTGTATGATCGGAGTGAAATACGAATGGTGTACAAACAATGTAAAGCTAGAAAAAAAAATGTACACTACACCAAGAACTTGAATTACAAATTGGATACAAACAATATATTAAAGATATTTACAAACACCATATATGGTAGTAATGAAGGCGGTTACCAACAACAAGTAGCATTTGAGGCACCAACAATGTAATGGACACTAGCGTTTTGTTATAATAATACCGTTAATGTCAGCGACGCTTATTTATTAGCGCAGTCTAGGATTATGTACTACAGAGTGAAAATAAATGGTATTATCAGTTGCTGAAAACTAACCTGGATCTTTTACTTATAATTAGTAACTCAAGTCATCACTCCAAACTAACTAGTTTCTATGGTGAATTTTCCATATGAACTGAGCTTGACCCCTAACAGCATTTATACAAAATTTCATGTTGGTATGTTTTTTGTTGTTTTTTCTCCGAGGGTCAATTAACTATAATGACATATAGTTGACATGGGTGAACAGCTTTGTACAATATCTTAACTGCCACTTCGAGAAGTGGAAATGCAACTTTACTATTAGCCAGAGTATTAATTGTTTGACCAAATTACACAACCAAGATATCCGTACTAAACTGTTCAACTTAATACGGGGATACTGCGGCCTAGAAATTGGGGTTTCGATGAGCATGTTCCATGGGTTTTCTTTATGACGCACTAGGGGCGGAAGTTAATATTCCTAGACACCTCAAGTTTGTAGGGTGTTTTTGCGCACGTGTATCAGAATTGTTACGAAGAAAGTTAAGAGGGGGGGGGGCTCGTATGCTAATATGATAGTTATTTAGATTTTTCTGTTGGTCCTTCTGACCACTTTTAACAAATACGGAGGGAGGTGGCTAGTGAAGTTTCTCGTTTTAACATGTGCGGGTGCCCGTAGATAAACTTAACTAGTCTGTATTAACATCGGCGAAGGTCACATTGTTGATAAGATTTAAATAGTTATTAAAGGTAAATACTGTAAAAAGTAGCCATTGTGTTGACAATAGGGTATATTTGTAGGCCACCGCCCATCAATTCGAAATATAGAAGTTGTGTTCAAGGACTTGAAAGACTGAATATTATCGCTTTTCAACTAACTCTCATTAAAGAAACTCCAGGTACAGAGTAACTGGAAGATGGTGATATTGTAACTGTAGTTATACAGAGTAAACTAAAATGTGTGAACAGTAGTTGAATTATCAACAGGGTTTTGGGTCCGTTTTACTTACCCATATAGTAGCTCAAGTTAAGCAAAATCAAGGAATTCATTAGGCCTCTACGTCATAGATTCTCTTTTCAATTTCAACTCTGGTAAAAAAGAAAAATCTTTAACATGTATATACAATAAATAGTTATCTAGCTCACTAAGTAAATAAATGCCAGACTAACTGGAAGATCGTGAAAGTGTGACTGTAGTTTTTCAGAGTAAATGTAATGTGTGAACAGTATTTTTTTTAACTCTGTAATACAATTAGGTATCAAAACTGAAATATTAAGGCTAGTTAGCATTAAGGCTGGAATTGTTCAAATATTTATCTTTATTGGACAAGTTTATCTTTTGTAGCGAAAAGATACAATTAATGGACGACAGATGGTGCCAGCATCTTTTTCCTAAAGTACAAGATTTGGAAGACTGCAGATAAAATTTACTCAAGCTTGTCGACAGCTTTTGAACATTTTTGATATCATAATAATTAAAATATATTTAAAATAGTGGAAACTGAGGGAATATTTGATCTCGGACGGCAAATGTAAAGTTGGTGTAAGTGTGTAAAATGTAATGAGAGAATTGAGTCATCATTTCAAAAGTGGAAACTTTTTACTAATATCCGTTATATAATAAAATAATGAAATTAAAATTATATTATATAGATGCACGCACGCATTTATTTTAATGACATATTTTGTTTCCACTAAAATTTAATTTTTGTGTTTTTATAAACCAGGGATCATTTCATATCCCACATTATAGCCTGTACTCTGGGGATCCTTTTAATTTATGTAGCGTCTTTAATTATTTTTTTTTTTTGTTTGGACTTGTTTTTGTTCATTTAAATGTCATTCATAACAGGTTTGAATTTGCTGTTTTTAGTCCTTCCTTTTGATTTTATTTTGCTTGACTGTTTAAGTATTAATATCGTGTCTTTTGTATTACAACACGTTATAAATAGTATACAGAATACCAGCTTCAGACCAATAAATATGACCTAATATAGTCAGAACTTGTATTACACAAAGGTATCAATTACGACCACTATAATACCAGCTGGTTTAATTTCCCATGCTGTAATGACGTCTTTAGTCCAGTTTTGTTAAACGATGACTGCAGTACATGGCTTGTTTTGTCATACGAGTTATCAGCCCAGAATGTTTCTGTAAGGGGGGGGGGACCCCCATCATAGTAATCAAGCGCAGTAACACACACTTTGAGTTTATCCTTAGTGATGTAGATAAGTCCTATCCATACTAAATCGGTGACACGTATTCGAATACAAACAAGCATATTAGAAAAATCTTTGCTCCTTTAAACAACTGTAATGTTAAGCAGGTCTAACAGTGTTTGTTTGTTTATTAAGCACAAAGCTACACGATGGGCTATCCGTGCTGTATCCACCACAAGTATCGAAACCTGTTTTTTAACGGTATGATCCTTCAGACTTACAGCTGTGTCACTGAGGGGGCAGATATAACAAGTCCTCAGCTAAAGTTACCAAGAGCTATATTTTATGTACAACTCTTCGGACTTTATATTTCCTGTCTCTAGCCTATCGTCCCACCTCCCAGTTGGATCCGTGATGAGTTTCCAGACTTGTAATGCTAAAATCCGGGGGTTCGATTCCTCGCAGAGCGTAGATAGTCCGTTGTGTATATCTGGATCAATGTATTGTTTTTCAATATTCTTGTAATAAACTTCTAGTATTCACAATACGTATTATCCACGCTGGGTTAGTGTTGAGTGTTCGCTTGCTTCCAACCAACGCAATATAAGTAAAGATTCAGGTCGGATTTCGTTTATTTAATATTCAATAGAAATAAATATCACTATAGGCAAACTTGTAACATGACGCTTTCGGTGGGTGTTACTGGTTACATTGTAGAATATGTATTACGACAACTTAAAAACGCTGCGGTAATCTAAATATTGTTCTTTGACTATATTTTACTAAATACGCCTCCTTTTGTTTCCACCAACCTATTCTGTCTTCATAGTTAAAACGTTTACTTTTTTTT